AGCTCCGCCTCCTGGGTTCACGCCATTCTCCTGCCTCAGCCTCCTGAGTAGCTGGGACTACAGGCGCCTGCCACCTCGCCCGGCTGATTTTTTGTATTTTTAGTAGAGACGGGGTTTCACCATGGTCTCGATCTCCTGACCTCGTGATCTGCCCGCCTCGGCCTCCCAAAGTGCTGGGATTACAGGCATGATCTGTCATTTTTATTATGAAATCAAAATAAATGAGAAATGAAATTAAAGCACACAGAAAATGCTCAATAAAAAAGTCAAAAAATCAGGAAGATCATGAAGTTCTAGAGGTCTAAGAGATATGAGGCTTGGGCTGGGCACGGTGGCTCACGCCTGTAATCCCAGCACTTTGGGACGTGAATTGGGCGGATCACCTGACGTCAAGAGTTCAAGAGCAGCCTGGCCAACATGGTGCAACCACATCTCTACTAAAAAATACGAAAATTAGCCAGGTTTGGTGACACACGCCTGTAATCCCAACTACTCGGGGGGCTGAGGGAGGAGAATTGCTTGAACTTGGGCAGTGGAGGTTGCAGTGAGAGGAGATGGTGCCACTGCACTCCAGCCTGGGCAACAGAGCAAGACTCCATCTCAAATAAAAAAAAGAGAAATGAGGCTTACCTTCCATAGGCTTGAAATTTACCTAAGCAGGAGGTCAGAACTTAGTTTGTTGGCTCCCTCCCTTCTCGGGGCCTCAGCTTCTCCATCAGGACAAGATATTTGGACCTACTTGTCTGTAAGGGCCCTTCCAGATCTGCTCTGCCTCCAGGACAACTACTGTGGGCCATAACCTGTGGCCCTCCCCATGACCCCAGCTCACCGCGGTCCTCCTTCTCTGCTGCTGCCTCCTCGTCTTCCTGGCGCTTTGCCTGTTCCTCCTGTGCCCGCTGCCGCTCCAGTTTTTTCATCAGCTTGAGATCCTTCCATTTCTTTTTCTCCTCTTTCTCTGGATAAAAGAACATCCCAATTGGCCGAGGAGATAGTTCCCACTCATTGGGTCAGCCTGGACTATGGAGAGCTACTGGGTGAGCAGCCAGAGGGCAGCAAGGGAGCCTCCCCAGGGCTCCCGGGCCCTGCCTCCCCACTTTGGGCGCTGCAGGACCCAGAGGGAACAAAGTTGGTGTCTTTCTCCAGGGTTTGAGCAGTGGTGGAGTGGTCTATGGGAAGATACTCTTACCCCCATCCTTACTTACTCTGTTGCTTCCATTTTCGCCACTCAATCCTTTGGCCGTGTTCACCCTGGAGAAGGAGTGGTAGGAGGATTATGAGTGTGAGGCTGATGGTTACATCTGGAGGAGGTCCGTTTGCTGCACCACAGCCAGCCCCGCCACACGGGGCGCCAAGGAAGCCAAGGAACCTCTGCAAACTGCTGCCCCAGAAAGCGTCTGGAGGGCAGGGACCCGCTGTATCCCCAGCGCCTGGGGCCCAGCCTGGCACACAGAAAGCGCTCAAGAAACTGTTGAATGAGTTCCCACAGAACAGAGTAGAAAACTGAGGCTCAGGGGACAGGACTGCCCACAGTCGCCCTGGAAGTCAGAAGACATAAACCACGAAAGGGCACCGGATTCAGGATTGAGAGCAGGGTCCCGCCTCCGTAATCCAGCCGGGGCCAGGGAGCCGCAGGGGGGTTCCGGAGAGGACACGGGCGCTGTTCCCATCCTGCTGCGGCTCACGCCGCACCTTCGGGGGCTTCCGGCCTGGGATCAGCGGGAAGCAGGCAGCAGGAGGCGCGGCCCGGTCCCGGCGGAGGTCCGCACGCCACTGGTCCTCACGCCTCCCCCGTGCTGCCCTGCGCGGGGTCCCGCCGCCCGCACTTACCGGGCCGCACGGCCGCTTCCTCCCGCGCTCCGCCATGTTCCGCACACACCGTCGGTCACGCCTCTGCCAATGAGACTCGCCTCTTCCGGCCACACCTCCATTAAGTTGTCCAATCGGAAAGCCAATGTTGCCCGGGGGCGTGGCCTGGGCGCCAGACTGCTGCAGGAGTACGCGGGCTGGTGTAGGTTGGGGGGAATAGGTGTCCAAATGGGCGGCATCACGGGTACTGTCCAGAATTTTGGATGGCTCTGAGTTGGGACAAATACAACACTCAGATGTCTGAATAGTTTATTTGTTAAAAAAAATTTTTTTGGAGACAGGGTCTCGCTCTGTTGCCGAGGCTGGAGTGCAGTGGCGCGATTCTAGCTCACTGCAGACTTGAGCTCCTGGGCTGAAGGGATCCTCCCACCTTAGAGTAGCTGGAACCACAGGTGCGCACTACCACGCCTAGCTCCTGTAACGCTTTATACATGGGGACCCCGGGGCCTTGAGCTGCAGTGTGATTCGGAGCTGAAAATGAGACAATTTAATCCAGGTTTCTTGCAGATTCGTTCATGTGCTCTTCCTTTTTTTTGAGACAGAGTCTCGCTTCACTGCCCAGGCTGGAGTGCAATGGCGCGATCTCGGCTCACTGTAACCTCCACCTCCTGGGTTCAAGCAACTCTCCTGCCTCAGCCTTTCAAGTAGCTGAGATTACAGGAGCGTGCCACCATGCCCAGCTAATTTTTTGTGTGTTTTTAGTAGAGATGGGGTTGATGTTGACCCCATGTTGACCAACCTGGTTGAACTCCTGACCTCAAGTGATCCGCCCGCCTCGGCGTCCCAAAGGGCTGGAATTAGGGGAGTGAGTCACCGCACCTGGCCTCTTTTTTTGTTTTTTTGAGAGTTTCGCTCTTGTTGCCCAGGCTGGAGTGCAATGGCGTGATCTCGGCTCACGGAAACCTCTGACTCCTGGGTTCAAGCGATTCTCCTGCTTTAGCCTCCCGAGTAGCTGGGAGCACAGGCATGCGCCACCACACCTGGCTAATTTTGTATTTTTAGTAGAGACGGAGTTTCTCCATGTTGGTCAGGCTAGTCTCCAACTCTTGACCTCAGGTGATCCACCCAGCTCGGCTTCCCAAAGTGCTGGGATTGCAGGAATGAGCCACCGCGCCTAGCCTCTTTCTCTTTTAATTAACAGACTATGTTAGTTGGGACTACAAGTGTGAGTCACCATGCCCGACTAATTTTTTTTTTTTCTTTTTGTGTAGTGTCTCACTATGTTGGCAGGGCTGGTCTCAAATTCCAGGGTTCAAGCAATCCTCTCAACTTGGATTCCCAAAGTGCTGAGATTATAGACATGAGCCATTAATGCCTTTTATTTTTTGAGATCTAGTCTCACTGTTGCTCAGGCTGAAGTGCAGTGGCATGATCTCTGCTCACTGCAACCTCTGCCTCCCGGGTTCAAGCAATTCTCCTCCCTCAAGCTCCCAAGCAGCTGGGATTACAGGCGCCTGCTACCAAGTCCGGATAATTTTTGTATTTTTTAGTAGAGACGGGATTCTCCATGTTGGTCAGGCTGGTCTTGAACTCCCAACCTCAGATGATCCACCTGTCTCGGCCTCCCAAAGTGCTGGAATTACAGGTGTGAGCCACCGTGCCCAGTCTCGAACTTAGATCTTATAATAAATTTGTTGTGATTTTTGACAGGTTTATTTTGTAGGCATGACTAAGACACTCGCCATGTGAAAAAACTAACACAAAAATCCCCCCCAAAAAACGATTAACAAAAAGACACAGACCATGTGATTGGGCTCAAAGTCTAGTCCCTCGCACCTCCCTGGAGGCAGAGATGGAGGGGGCCCGATGGGCTAAAAGTTCTGACCCTGTAATGGCACAGTGCAGAGGGATTCCATGTGACTAACACGACATGCCCATCTTCCAGAAACTCCAAGGATTTTAGGAATTCTTTACTAAGGACCAGGGGCAAAGACCTAATATGTATTTTATTATAAGATATATTCCTATCAGCTCACCCAGTTAAACATGATATGAGCCAAACCCATGTGCTTGCTATGCAAATGCAACTTCGAGACCAGGCCCCTAACACCACCTTCCAAAGAAATTCAGGAGCTACTATTGCTATCCAGTGAGACTCAATCGGGGCCAGCTAGAAGGCCTGGCCTGGGCACACCACTTCACCTCACCTCCAGAGGGCTTTCCTCACTTGTGAACTGGAGATAACTCAGGTCTCAGTCTCAGAGGGTTGTGTAAGATAATGTGCGTCAGAGTGCCTGGCAGGTAGGGCGTGCACGATCAATATTCAGTCCTCCTCCTCCTGAGAATTATTTAAGTCCCCGGTCCTCCTGGCCCCCACTGTGCTGTTCTCTCACCCCTGTGGGAATGTCCATGTCTTCCTTGTCACAAGCCCCAATCCCCTCCACACACACACACACACACACACACACACACACACACCCCAGCCACCACACCCAGCACCAATAACTGCTACCATCAGATTAATATGAGAGGCCAGGTATGGCGGCTCACGTCTGTAATCCCAGCACTTTGGGAGGCCGAGTCGGGTGGATGACCTGAGGTCAGGAGTTTGAGACCAGCCTGGCCAACATGGTGAAACCCCATCTCTACAAAAACACAAAAATTAGCTGGGTGTGGTGGCAGGTGCCTATAGTCCCAGCTACTCAGGAGGCTGAGGCAGCAGAACTGCTTGAACCCGGGAGGTGGAGGTTGCAATGAGCCGAGATCATGCCACTGCACTCTAGCCTGGGTGACAGAGTGAGACTCTGTCTAAAAAACAAAAACAACAAAAACAAAAAAGATTAATAGTAAGGAATTCATTTGGGGGCCTTGGGTGCTAGGCCTGGTTGTGCCACTAACTATGTGACTACAGAAATCATTTGTACAAAGTTGTGGGGGTGTCTGAGGTTCTCCTGGGCATTCTTATCAAGTTAGATCAGCCATCAGCTCGAGTGTGAAACAGAGAGAAAACGTCAAGAAGGATTTGAATAACTTAAACATTTTATTATGGATGAAAAGGAGTGGCTTGAGCACTCAAGTCTAAAGGCAAATCCCCAAGGCCGAGATGAGCCAGGAAAGGTGAGGTTATGCCTGAGCCTTAGCAGGGCCCATGCAGGGCTGGGATGTGATCGATACACGGTGGGACTCTACCGTCGGTCTCGGCCAAGCCTGGAGAGACCAGAAGCAACCCAAGACCCGACAAACCCACCTACAGAGGGGCCGAGAGAGGCCCAGGTCAGGCCGCCCTCACCTTTCAGACAGGAGGCACTTGGTTCTCTAAGATGAAGAAGGGTGGCTCCCACCCAGAAAATTCTGTGTCACAGAGAAGAGGTTTCCCAACAGCATCTTCCCCGACCCAGAAATGTCTGAAACCTGGACAAAGACAGACACCCAAGAGTATCTCTGCGGGCAGGTGGGGATGTCAGGGCCAAGGTGTGACTTCAGGGCTAGAGCTCCGCCTTCCACTTCCGCAGCTTCTCGTCCATGGCCTGGAGCGTGGCTTCATCCTGCACCAGCACAGATTAGTCCCACACTCTCCCCATGCCCCCAGCAGGCCTTGGGAGGCTCTGGGAGGTCTTTCCTCCCCCAGCCCCGCCCTTTACCTTCACAAAACAGAAGCGGATATAGTGGTCAAAGTGCTTCTGATGTGGCACACTGCAGAAGATGGAGACAGGGATGGCCACCAAGCCCTGGGGAGGAGGAAGGACATGTCTCAACACGGCTTCGTGGCCCAGCAGGCCTTGGCCCCAGAGGGAACAGACAGGTTCCCACAATCAGGCGGGGAAGGAGAGTTAGCTCCAATCCTGCACCTAGTGCTGCATCAAAGTCACGGGAAAAAGGCTGGGCGTGGTGGCTCACGCCTGTAATCCCAGCATTTTGGGAGGCTGAGACGGGTGGATCACCTGAGGTCCGGAGTTCGAGACTAACTGGCCAACATGGCCAAACCCCATCTCTTAAAAATACAAAAATTAGCTGGGCGCTGTGGTGCATGCCTGTAATCCCAGCTACTTGGGAGGCTGAGGCAGGGGAACTGCTTGAGCCCAGGGGTGGAGGTTGCAGTGAGCTGAGATGGTGCCACTTCACTGCAGCTTGGGTGAAAGAGAGAAAATCTGTCTCAAAACAAAACCAAACACAAAGTCAGAGGAAAAGGATCCCAGAAGGCCATTCCAAGTCCCTCCCTGGGTATGGAGGGCAGACAGACGCTGAGAGAGGCAAGTTCACGGAGCAGGTCAGGGCAGAGCTAGAGAAGAACAAAGCCTTAGAGTCACAGATCGAACCTGGATGGACCTCAGAGTGAATGGTCCAGCTCCTCACTGTACAGACGGGAAGATGGAGATCCAAAGAGGCAGGAAATCCTGCCAGCCCACACAGTCTCTCTGTGCAAGTGAGAAACAGGTTCCTTGGGCCAAGCGCGGTGGCTCACGCTTGTAATCCCAGCACTTTGGGAGGCCAAGTGGGGTGGATCACCTGAGGTCAGGAGTTGGAGACCAGCCTGACCAACATGGTGAAACCCTGTCTCTACAAAATTACAAAATACAAAAATTAGCCAGGCGTGGTGGTACGTGCCTATAATCCCAGCTACCCAGCTACTTGGGAGGCTGAGGCAGGGGAACTGCTTGAACCCAGGGATGGAGGTTGCAGTGAGCTGAGATGGTGCCACTTCACTGCAGCTTGGGTGAAAGAGAGAAAATCCGTCTCAAAACAAAACCAAACACAAAGTCAGAGGAAAAGGATCCCAGAAGGCCATTCCAAGTCCCTCCCTGGGTATAGAGGGCAGACAGACGCTGAGAGAGGCAAGTTCACGGAGCAGGTCAGGGCAGAGCCAGAGAAGAACAAAGCCTTAGAGTCACAGATCGAACCTGGACGGACCTCAGAGTGAATGGTCCAGCTCCTCACTGTACAGACGGGAAGACGGAGATCCAAAGAGGCAGGAAATCCTGCCAGCCCACACAGTATCTCTGTGCAAGTGAGAAACAGGTTCCTTGGGCCAGGCGCGGTGGCTCACGCCTGTAATCCCAGCACTTTGGGAGGCCAAGTGGGGTGGATCACCTGAGGTCAGGAGTTGGAGACCAGCCTGACCAACATGGTGAAACCCTGTCTCTACAAAATTACAAAAAAATCGCCAGGTATGGTAGCAGGGCGTCTGTGGTCCCAGCTACTCAGGAGGCCGAGGCAGGAGAATGGCGTGAACCCGGGAGGCGGAGTTTGCAGTGAGCCGAGATCGTGCCACTGCACTCCAGCCTGGGTGACAGAGCGAGACTCCGTCTCAAGAAAGGCGAAAAGAAAAGAAAAGAGAAGAGAAGAGAAGAGAAAAGAAAAGAGAAAAAAGACTCCTCGTTCTTTTAAGTGGATACAACCCTGCCCCAAGGTTCACGGCAGAGGCAGACTAGGATCTGGCCCAGGAGCCTCTTGCCTGGGCACCCTTGAGCAGCACACAACCTGTGAAACCATACATGGCTGCACGGCAGAGGCCCAGCCCACCTTGTTCTTGATCATCCACTTGACGAAGCGTCTGTCATAGGGCTCATCCACAGCTCCAGGCAAGTCAGGCATCTTCCTCTCTGGGAGACAGAGGCCACACTGAGCCCCCTGCAGCCTCCAGCCCCTGCGCCCTGCCCAGAGCGGCCAGTCTCACTCACTGAAGTCTGAGATGTCTGTGATGAGGAAGTAGCTGCCCTGGGGCACGACGGGCTTCAGGCCCACTGACTGTAGGCTGCGTACCATGTGGTCCCGGCAGCGCTGCATGGCCTGCGGGAACTGCACAAAGTAGCTGCTGGGTTGGCCGAAGAGCAGCTGCTCCCGCTCAAAGCTCTCGGCTACTGCGGCCTAGGCAGGGCAGACAGACACCCAGACAGATTAGCTGTTCCCTGACGCGGGGGCCAGCCTGGGCTCTTTCATTGTCTCCCTGCTCCCCCATGGCGTCCCCTGCCCTCTTCACCTGGCTCTGCGTGGGGCAGTGGAAGATGGAGTTCTGGTGCACGGTCCGCAGGTGCTTCATGATGTGATCTGGACCCAGGACCCAGCCCACCTGGAGCAGGAGCACAGGTAGTGGGGGAGGTCCTTCCAGGCCTGGCTAAAGCCTTCTTCATTCCCAGGCCCACCTCACTTGCCAAGGATCTTGCAGGGGCTGGTGACCTCCCACCCTCAGCAACTCACCTTCCAGCCAGTGGCGCTGAAGGTCTTGCCGGCGCTGCCGATGGTCAGGGTCCGTTCCCACATGCCAGGGAGGCTGGCTGCCCAAGGCCGAACAGAGCAGCTGCTGAGACTGGGGTGAGGGGTAAGGGGAAGGGTGGTGGTCTGGGCCCCAGGGGGCACCCATAGGCTCTTGACATCCTGGACTCCCCTACATACTAAGCTATTTGCAGAATTTCTTTCTTTCTTTCGTTCTTTTTTGAGATGGAGTTTCGCTCTGTTGCCCAGGCAGCAATGCAATGGCACCATCTCAGCTCATTGCAACCTCCGCCTCCCGGGTTCCAGTGATCCTCCTACCTCAGCTTCCTGAGTAGCTGGGACTACAGGCACGCACCACCATGCCCAGCTAATTTTTGTACTTTTAGTAGACACGGGATTTCACCATGTTGGCCAGGCTGGTCTCGAACTCCTGACCTCCAGTGATCTGCCAGCCTCAGCCTCCCAAAGTGCTGGGATTACAGACGTGAGCCTGTAATCCTATGCCCAGCATAGGATTTCTTTGACCTCATCCTTTCGACAACCAGCGGGGCAGATGCTATTGTTTTTTGTTTTCCTGTGTACTCTGGGAGGCAAAGGTCACAGGATCTGCAGGGCTCCAGAACCCTGGGTTCTAACTACCAGGCCTGTGCTGACTCTCAGGTGGGGTCAAGGCCCTGCCACCAATGTGCAGGGGAGGGGCCCTGGGCAGGCTTGGCTCACCAATGCTGATGTGAGGATGCCCATCGTAGACCATCCACTGGTAGACTTCATCAGTGATACACACCACGTCATGCTGCTGGCACAGGCTGGCCACCAGCTCCAGCTCTTCCCTGGAGAACACCTGTGGATGCCCAAGGAGAGCCCAGACCTGCAGCTGAGACCATCCCCAAACACAGAGGCCTACTCAGAGAGGTTAAAGAACACAGCTGCGGCCAGGTGCGGTGGCTCATGCCTGTAATCCTAGCCCTTTGGGAGGCCAAGGCGGGCAGAACACTGGAGGTCAGGAGTTTGAGACCAGCCTGGCCAACATGGAGAAACCCTGTCTCTACTAAAAACACAAAAATTAGCTGGGCATGTTGGCAGGTGCCTGTAATTCCAGCTACTCAGAAGGCTGAGGCAGGAGAATTGCCTGAACCCAGGAGGCGGAGGTTGCAATGAGCCAAAATCACGCCACTACACTCCAGCCTGGGAGACAGAGCGAGACTCCGTCTCGAAAAAATGAGTAAATGGCGAATACAGCCAAGCCCAGTGCTATGGGCTGTTCCACACCATTGCATTGGATCCCTGCAACAATGACCCATGAGGTCAGTCCCCTCAGGTTCCCACATTACACATGAGATACTTTGAGAAGCATAGTCACTATTCCATGGTCACTGGGAAGTGATGGGGGCTCCCAGCCCAGTTCACTGTTCCAGCCCTCAGGCCTTCCCTGGGTATTCCTGCCCCTGTCCTGGGACCTCTGGAGCCTTGGTCCTCAGAGCTCATTGTGTGTGGCCCTCCCACACGAGGCCCCACAGCAGCAACTCAGTAATGGTGCAGGAGACATGACTAGGTCTGCGGGGGGCCAGGGAAGGAGGTCCCTCCAGTACCTTGCCCAGGGGGTTGTTGGGGGTGTTGAGGACCAGGGCTTTGGTGCGTGGTGTGAATTTGCTGGCCAGCTCCATGGAGTCCAGCTGCCAGTTGCTGCTGGAACCCAGTTCTCCATTCTGGATGGGACCCTGCAAGGTGGCAGGGGCGGCACCACTTACCCACCTGACGTGCAGCTCTTCCCCCAGCATCCACCCCCACCTTCTCTCCCCTGGGATCCCAACACACACACCTCCCCTCTGCCCTCCCAGCTTAGGGGAACTGGCTTCCTTCACTTCCTTCCTCCTGTTCCAACGCCCAGGGTCCAACTCCGCCCATGCCTTGGATCCCTCTGCCCATCCATCCTCTACCTAGCATCCTTACCGGCTTCAGGGGCACAAACACAGGGCGACCCCCCGCCATCACTGTCATGGGCTCGTAGCAGTCAAAAAAGGGTTCGATGATGATGACCTGATAGAAGGTTCAAATCAGCTGCAGTCAGCACGGCCCTGACCTCTCGGTCCCACTCAGCCCAAGTCTTGCCCACTCACCTCATCTCCTTCGTCCACCAGGGCCTGGAAGGCTGTGAACAGGGCCCCATAGCCACCGACAGTCACGAGCACATTCCTGAGCGGGTCCATCTCCTGACCCAGAAGCTTCCCAAAGAAACTTGCCAGGACCTTCGTCAGCGGTGGGTAACCCTGCCAGGACAGCGGGGGTCAACTGTCCAGCTCAGCCGGGCCCATCCTCCTGCCCAGCTGTATCCAGGCAGTTCTAGCACCTTCCAGCAGCAAGTCTGGGGCAAAGTCAGATACTGGTAGCCTGGGCCCCAGGGGACATGGAATAGATTAGCTTTCAACACTCTGGATTTCTCTACACACCAAGTTATTTGTGGGATTTCTTTGATCTCATCCTCTCAGCAACCCAGAGGCAGGTGCTATTGTGATCCTGTGTACTCTGGGAGGTAAAGGTTACACAATCTATATGGTCCCAGACTCCAGGGTCCCAACCACCAGGCCTGCACTGACTCAGATATACGCTCTTCCATCTCCTCCACCAGCATTTGCCATAGCGCCTGTTCTGTGCCAGGCCCGGAGCCCAGGGTGGGGATTCAGCAGAGAACCAGAGGAAGTGTTTGCCTCCATGAACCTCAGTCCAA